ATAACCAAACATAAGCACAATTGCAAACCTCTGATGATGACAAAATCAGAGCGTGCAAGTTGAATGCATGATAAATTTATTAATGTATTACTTTAGTTCTACAACACCAGCAACCTGGCTATGAACTTCCTATTTATGGTTTGAATTTTGTTCTGCAAATGAAACGGTTGCTCAGAGGGCTGCAGAGAGTCATGGTGAAGTGTGTGAATCATCAACATTTTTCAAAGGGAAGCTCTGCTCTAAGTGTGGCTGTCCCAGTGGTCTGGTGGCATGGAGACTGGGCGTCTCAAAGCCAAAGCAGGAATTAAAGAAATGAGCCAAATCTGCTTAGAGATAACCATTTCTTGAGAAATTCAGAATAGCTGTTCCCTTGGACTCACACAGCACAACTTGACACACACTTCAGAAATGCGGCACTGATTTCACTAACTGCTCCCACAGCTGTGAGAGTGACTGAGCATTAGAGCATGTGGCCTGGGCTCCAGAAGAGAGGTCACCGTTCAAAGTCACCTCCGCCTAATGTGAAAATGTGCATGAGACAGGGGAGGGCATTCTTGTCCACTCTGCTCTGCCACACTTCATAACCACACAGAGAGAAAGGTGAACAAAATAAAGAGAACAAGTCAAACCATTCACCAAAAATAAAATAAAAATTAAAAAATACCCCCAAAATTACAGTCCAAGGACTGAAACTTTCTGTGACTTTGGCAAACCAAGGAGAACTTTTCTTGTCTAGTGAATGAATAGGGAAGATATGTTTATGAATCTTTAGGGTTTGGGGAAGGTGAGCTCAGACTTCAGATCTTGTTTCAGGAGCTAGTTTCAGGCAACGGACAGCCATTGGAAATGCTGAAGAGGCAGAATCAAAATGATGAATTATCATGACTTCACGAGGATTTCTCAGTAAGCTCTTTACTTACAGTGAGGCTTGTGACAGTGGGGAAGTGCTAGCCTTTGTTTTTGCTTTTCTTTTTGTTTTTGTTTCTCTTCTTAACTTCAGCTAACTGGGGCACCTATGCATGAAGCTACTTCAAAATAAAAACGGGTAAGATGTGATAGGAATACCAGCTGTGACAGGGAAGCTTGGCGATTTTGCATGCTTTAACTCCTGGCTATTCCCCTTTAACCAGAAGGGATTTCCCACCTTATTTTCCAGTAATCTCCCTTTCCAGAGGGCCCCATTCACTACTGCTCTGCCGGACCCAGGAGAACAGGCTGGGGCAGCTTTAGTGGCTGTTTGGTGCAGTGGTGTCTCTAAACAGCAGCTGGGCTTGTGCTGGGAACTCACACCATGGCCTGAGTGCAGTACAGTGGAGCAGCGCTGAACTGCTGCGGCTGGGCTAGTGTTAAGTGTCCTTCCAAACCCTCTTTCACTTCCATTTCTGCTTTCACAGCTCCAGCATGCTGTGTGTCTTACTTGTTTCTCTGTCTTGCTCTGGCTTCTCCTTTTCTTTGCTCTCTCTCACATCTCACATCCGACTCTTCTTCTTCTCACTCAGTGTGTGTTACCCTTCTGTATGCTTCAGAAATTGCTGCTGTTGCTCTCCACCACCAGCACCCATGGAACTTCACCCTTCTTGAGCACTGAGCAAGACTATGAGTTCAATCACGACAACAAACCTGGTGGACAAATTTAATCCCTGAGATTTTTTCTGGTTGTTGTGCTACAGAAAAGGTCATTTGGGGCATGAAGCCCTAAGGCTTGCCAGCTGTGCTTTACCTGAAGAAATGTAGCAGCCCAACCTACACCATGCTAATATTAGCTGCTAGGTCCAAAGCTAACACTATGCTAAGCCAGGATTTTAATCTGCAAAAACAAACACAAATGTAGAGCTGCATTGTCCAGCAAAGAATTCAGTGCTCTCATTTTTCATGAAAAAGTATGGGAAACTGAAGAACAACACTCTGCCACCAGGCACAGCATGAAGCAAGATAAAGACAAATTAATAGTACCGGGCTGCTTTCTTTACATAATTGATGGGGAAAAACACCTAAAGCAAATCTGAATGTTAAAAAGTGTTTGGAAGGATAACAATATCAAACAAATTGTGTTTGTTTTATTTTGTTTTGTTTTTAATAAGGTGCCAATACTTTGAAACTTGACCATTTCCTCAGTACGTAAAAATAAGTCTGCTTAGATTCCATCTCTCCTGTTGACAGTGTGAGAGTAAAAGCTTTTCTGAAAGAAAGAAAGTGCACTTGTGTATTCACTTACCATTCAAAACAACAAATGCTTTTCCTTCTAAAGCTGAGGAACTCAGAAGTGCATCTTTGCCTATAGCAAGCTGATAGATTATGTGTTGGTATAAGCAGCCCATGCCCTGATGTCTCTAAACCTTCTCTTTCCTTTCTATCCAGCCTTCTGGAAACATTTCAGGGTAACACTTCAGACAACTGAAATGCAATTCTAATACTAATATCCCTTCCTCATGCTTGTATGAATTAAAAGAAATCACTAAACTGAGAGCATGCATTAAACATCATTAATAAACACAGACTGCACCAGGACATCAAAAGAACATCTGAGAAAATTCCTAACGTTAACTCTTCCTTTCATCTATTTTGATTTTTTACAAAAAAAAAAAATAATAAAGTCTAGTAGCTATCTTAATTTCTTCTATGTCATAGTTACCTTTAATCAAGCCCAAAAGCCTACAAAAGCCTAGCCAAAGTGCTGAGGAGACATGAGATAGACTAGTTCTCAAAGTGAGGAGAGTAGAATATATTTGAGGATGGGGACAGAGATGGACCAGGGAAATTCTATTTTGGCTTTATTTCTGTTCTTTCTCCCCTTTTCTTTGGGATCTCTTTCATTTTGGTGGCCACAAGATGAAAAGAGAACAAGGAGAGCATGTCAAGCTGAGGTTGGGGTCATGGGAGCTGCATCGGCACTTCACGTGGGCTGTGCCTGGGGAAGGGGAGAGCTGGCGAGGTAGGGTGGGAGTGCAGAAAACTGCCACAGCAGTGGGGATGCATGGCACAAGGGGCCAGGGCACTGGGCTGAGCTGGACTCAGGCTCACTTTGCCAAAGCTGTTGACAGAAGGGGTTTAAAATGCTTTTCTTTGACATTGGGTTGATTGTTGCATGGGCACATTGTGAATTTATATCCCATTAGTTAATCGGTTTAAATGGATTGTACAGTCTGAAGCAAACAAAGAGACAGGCGTGGGCAAGACGACAGGGTGCAAATCCATGTTACAGCTAGTTGGTGCTGAAAGGTGGATTCGCTCTTCCCACTTTCCTCCCCTCCCTTGTGCCAGTGGTGGCACTTCTCTTACTGCAGGGTGCTGAGCTCGACCCTTCCTTTGGCAGGGTGAATTTTCTACCTTCTTTGCTCCATGAGGAAACAAGGCACCCAGAGCTGGCCATGGGGGAGGAGGTGTGGAGACCACTCCTTTCAGCAGTGGCACTTGTGGAGCAGGTCAGTCAGGATGCTAAATGCTACCCATCTCAGAAAAGGCCATCTCACCACAAGTAGCCTCTCTTCTTGGGTCCATAGGGGTGGGTTTTGTAAGCAGTACTCAGTTTCAGGTATCCTCATAATTCAGTAACTGCTCAGTTTGGTTAAGAAGCTTGGAACAGAGCTCTAGGCTTGTTCAGAAAACTGCTGATATGACGAAAACAGTACCTTTTCTACCTCTTTCATGCCTATCCCATTTTATGTAACTCCCTAACCTTGCTTGAAAATTGTGATAAGGATTTAATTACCTATAAAATACCTCTTGCACCGATTTAAAAATATAAAATAAAAAATATCACACCCTTCTTGGGTTTCCTGGTTTGCAGGGTTTCCTGCATTGTGTAGCCCAAGTCTCAGCCCCAAAGGTACATGTGGTACTAGGAGCAGCACATTTCCCAGTGACTCAAGCAGCCAAGGATATGTGTGGGAGAACAGCAATGCAGGGCTTTGCCACCAACACTGTTTGCTGGGATCCTGTTTCTCAGACATAACTGCAGTTCTGCATGTCTCTGACACATGTACAACATCTGATGCGCAAAGCCAGGATTTGCACACTAAATCCCTGTGGCATGAGGAAATGGAAAACTTTGCTGAGACATAAGATATACATGTACATGTATACCACATGCAAAGCTTGAATTTTTGCACGAGCTACAATAAAGCTAGCTTTACATATGACTTTCCAGAGAGCTTTGTGGGCTAGAGAGATTGAATAATATTGTCTGGCGTGGTTTGGAAGATTTCAGAGAAAGAAATTCAGTGCTCAGGGATTTAAGAATCATTATTGTACACAAGAAGCCTGAAAAGTGTGGGTGGGTGGGAAGGAAAGTCACCCTGTTCCTGTTGCAAAATTATGATCAATAAGAACAGGGTGATGGCTAGAATGTGCAAAGAGGGTTGCACTGTGAAGAACCAGGATAAGTGAGACAGCAGTAGCTGCAGTCAGTATAAATCAGCTCAGAGCTCAATCATCACTGCATACCACATGCTGGGGAGGAAGGAAGCTGTTTGTCCCTTGTTGCTTCTCCCTCCTGAACTGTCACCGGCTGCTCCACTCCTCTGCTTTAGGGGAATGGACTCTGCAGCCCCTTCTTCCTCCTCACTCATCCAGCTTTTCCATGGGTTGCCTTTTTCCTGGCACTTCATTTTGGCTATGTCCCACCACTTGCATCCTGGTGGAACTGTATAAGAAAGTGCTGCACATCTCTGCTGCTCTCTGGTCTATTCTGGGCCCGTCAATCCCCCACAGCTCCTCTCAGAGCTGGGTGCAGTCACTACAAAGCCCACTGCTCTTTAATAGCAGTAATAACTCTTTGAATGCCCCCTTAAAAATTTCCTTTGCTGTTTTGCCTACAAAAAACTAAACACAACAGGGAAGTGATAGCTTTGGCTTGCTGTAGTGATCAATGTTGCCCCATTTGCTTTCTTATCTGATCATCCACATCCATCTCCTGCACAGTTTCTCCTTAATGGGACTGGGAAAAGCCTTCAGTAAGCTCACTGGTTGGAGTCATGCACAACAGAAACCACAAATGAGGCTGCCGGGCACCACATCCATTAAAAATATAATAAGCAGAGATATAAAAACCAGCATCAAGCAACGTTTGACTTGGTCAGTCTTGATTGATAGGTTGCAAAAAACATTGTCTGCTCTTCTGATTCTTCACAGTTGTCTCAGACCTTTATTTGGGAATCTGTGAATGCACTCTTTAGATTTCTCTTGTAATAATCAAATAATGAGGATACAGAGAGGTAAGAGATTGAGAAGGAACTCAAGGGAACTAGTTCAAACCGCCAGCCCAGCATTCTTGTTCCCAGCTTGTAGAGTCCTTTTCTTCCTCCTCCTTCTGCAAAGCTTTCTTCTCTGTGCTGCGTGGTTACTCCCTTCTTCCCCTGGGAAGCAAGCAAGAAACAAAACTTGATAGCAAGCAGAGACAAAGCTTGAGAGAGTGTTCTTGTCAGCCAGCTCATTACCCTCATGCAGATTTGGTGGGTGTAAGGCCCAGTGCATTTTCTGTGGTGGGCTGCTGCACCTCTGCTTGCAGGGAATTTGCAGAACACTCCACTGCAGGACGCAGAGTGTTGTGTTTGTGAATAAGAAATCCTCCTCTTCACTTCTCTCATCCATTACCAGTCATCTCCAGTGTGTCCAAACAAAAACAAACCCCAGAGAATAAAAAGCCCTGAGAACTCTGCCTTAGACCACAGAAGCCTTTTGCAGTTGCAGACTGCCAAGTTCACAGCCAGGACACAACCTATATTTGTAGCCAGGGTTTGTCACTTCCTCAGCAGCTCCCCAAGCATTTCAGGGCATGTCGCCCCTGGGCATGCAGGGGACCTGAGTGAGCCCAAATGGTACAGGGCTTGGTGGAGGTGCTCATAGAGGTGCCAGGCTGGTTGGCACCCAGTATCTTTGCTGGAAATGCTGGGGGCACCTCCCTGAGTTGCTAGCCAAGGGCAGGGGCCTGGTAGCCACAGGCAGTGGCTGAGAGTGCCTGCCCAGCCCAAGTCCTATTACCTGTGTCAAGAGTGGGCTGTGACTTTAACAGCAGTTTTTAACCAAGTTAAAGACCAGTTATTAAGTAATTAAGACAGAATTTTTGTGCTGTGTAAGTAGACATGGCATAAAGATACAATGTGCCATAAAGAGGATGCCACCAGTGATGGAGTGTGAAATCAAAGTTCTTTCTCTTTAGGTGCATTAGCATCAGCGTAGCTCAGACGATGCATGCAGACTGCATGGAGTTGATGCAGTTGGACCCTTGCACCCCTGCATGGTGCTCCTCTGGGCTGCCTCTGCATTGTGGGTGAGAGACATGGAGAGGAAAGATCCAGGATAAGAGCTTTAAAGCTAGCTAAAGGTTTCAAGGAAACTGTACCGGATCAGTTTCCATTTACATGTCTTCAATGTGGTTGAGGAAAGCACCAAAAACTCTACACAATGTAGCCTCAGATAGGCTGTTCTCAAGGGTGGGTTTGTAATTGGAGATTACTATAAGCCTACAGTGACGTGGTTTACTATCCCTTCTTAAGTATTTCTTGTTGGCTTTTTTGTTAGCCATTTAAATGCCCATCCCCTGGGTTCAGCAGCCTTCCTGGGGATAAAGCAGCCTTAGCAGTGCTTTGCATCCGAGCCAGTGTCCCTTCCTCTACCATCATCACCCCGACACTACTTCACAGCCAGCAAAAACCAAAAGCCTGTGACAAAAGCGATGACAGCCCCCTTGCCCAGGGGCTCGGCAGCTGGGCACCGTCTCATCCGTGGAGAGGGGAGTGGTGGGGTTTTCTCCCAGAGGGTGGTCCCATGCCTGGGGGATGTTTCTGCTGAAGAAACGTGGAGCGGGTCTGGCAAGGGATCAGTGGCTGTCCCCAGTGAGCACAGGCTGCAGTGCTGGGTGGGCAGTGGTCTTGGCTGGCATCACAGCTCCTGGGGAGTGAGCAGCTGGTACCACTGAGTGCATACATACCCAACCCTGCATGTGTTGTCAAGGAGCCATTTGAATGCATCTGAAATTATTGCTGCAGTAGTGAGCCTGCTATGGTCCTATGTGGAGGTCCTTTTGCTAAGTACCACCAGGAGAAGTGCTTACTTGTTGCTTATGCATTGAAAACCATCATTGTTCCTGTGCTACAGTTCCTGCAAATTTATCCTCAGCATTTTCCTGCTGCTTCCCTCTCAGAAAATATTTTCCCAGTGCAAAAGCTCTCTCCCCATTCCCTCTGTTCTGCGGAACTAAAATATAAACAAAAGCATGATCTAAACACACAGGTCTCCTGTGTAAAGCTCTAACAAGCAGTGCTCCTGCTCAGGGCTGCGTGAATCACCCGGAGAGGGGCTGTTTCTAAGTGCACACCGCGTGCGCTTTAAAGCAAAATAGGAAATACCTGCACTTCAGTCCTGTAATAGTTGTGTTTGAATCAAAGCAGATGATTCGTAGCCAGGGCTGGGTTCACAAGAAAGGGCGAGGTTGCTAGAAAATCATAATGATAAAGCTTCCTGTTTTTAACGATGTATTTCAACAATGATTATTGCTGCCTCAGAGAAGGAAAAGGATGCCTGCTAGCTGAAAAGTACCTTACTATTTCTCCCTGCGCTTGTGTGCCAAAAAGTCACACAAACAAGTGATTTGTGTTGGAAATGAAAAGAGTCTTCCTTCTGGAGTTTTCAGCTACACTGAAATTACTACGTGCTTGCAAAATTAGGGCTGCTCTGGTTTTTGCTGTTATGCAAACTTCAGGCTTTCTCCTTGGCAACGCCGAGTGCCCTTAAGAGCTAGACGTGCTTGATGTCTTATGACTTTATTTTCTTTATATACACAATGATTAAAACGAAAGGCAGCTGTTAATTTCAGGGGAAAAACAAAAACAAAACAGCAAAACAAAACAAAACAAAAAACAACTGCACATCCAATATATCTTTTGTGTTGCACCAAAATAACCCGCCAACTCAGGCAGACAATTTAGCATAAGAGTTGTCTGTCTTTGGTACTACTTACTAGATGAAGATGTTCTTTTATTTCTAAATATATAGGAGAGCAGGCTGTATATTCACGTTATAAAAGTGAAATCTCACTTATTTTTTCTTCTTAAATGGCAACCGACTGAAGGCATGACATGTTTTCTGCATCCTGACATGAATATTCACCATTCATTTTTCACCAACATCATGTGCTTTTGTGATACAGATGACAGATTTCATGCTCGTTCCCAGTTGGCTGAAAGTCATCTTGAGCTGGTGGACAGAAAGGCCTGAATCGCCTCCTTGCCACCAGGGCTCACCTTTGCCACGCTAAGGCGCAAGGCAGGAGGATATGAAGCCCTGTGTGATTTCCTGTTTTTCCAGCCCCAAAACAATTGCACTTTACTTCAGATCAGAAGTGAGAGCGAGTCATCACGTAGGGGGCTGCCCTTCCGCCTCACCATGAGCCATCCCCATGGCAGACATCTGGTTTGCTTCAGCACACTGAGGAGCACCAGAGATGTGGCCCTTCCCACAGCTGGCTGTCATGCAAACACCAGGCTTGTCCTTACTGCATCGGCACTGAATGTTTGAATTTGAAGGATAGCCATAAAACTGAATAGACACACGTCTTTATAATAACACTGGTTTTAATTCACTCTTCCCTGGTTCTGACCAAAGCAGAATAACTGCTTATAGTAGATGAGAATAACTATAGCAGTAAAATCACCTTGTTTCAAAAGGAGGTATCCACCATGGGACATGTTCTTTGGCAGTCACATAGAAGTGCTTCTTCAGTTAATATTTCCCCATATGGAGAGCTTCCCCAGTTTGTATCCTTCAGAATCAGTTGAGCTGAACACCGTCAGCATCATCAGCACCATTAAGGAGATCACACACCCTCACAGGGCCATAACTCTGCAGAAACAGATCCATAACACAAGCTGATGTGTTGTTGCTGAATGGCTAGGCATTTACTGGGACAAACAAATCATAGCAGAAACATGCAGAATTTCAATGCAATGCCTTGAAATGGGCTTTAAAATGCTGGGATGCAAAAAGGATTCTACCTGTGTGTGTGAGCTCCTCGATGAACAAAACTTTGTTTCTCTGTTGAGCCACTGCTGAGGAGAGTAATGAAGTAGCAGTCAGGTAACTAGAGAACACTGAGTCAGCCTGCTTGGTTTAATCATTTCTCAGGATCTACGGGCAAACTTCATGAAAATCTCTGTGGATCTCAAGGGAGGTAGGATTTTATATGCCAGGTGTTATAGAGGATTTAGTGATCCTTCCTCTTGGTTTTAACAGTGCTATAGAAGGAGATGCATGCAGTTCTTTGTTAGGTTCCTCCTACACCTCTATTCTTGGAGGCTCAAGTTAAATTCAGAGTCACCATGAATCTCATTTTTTTTCAGGGTATTTGTTGTACAAGCAGGTAATTTGATACAGAGAAGGTACAAAGAAGGAAAAATGCACAGATTTTATGTTTCAGAAAAGGGATTACTTCTGAAATGAAGTTTATGAGGTGATAAATTTTAGCAGTAAAACTCAGATTCAGCTTCTTCCAAGATCTCCCCTAGGTATGGTGGTGCGTGAATTTGGGTCTTGGCTTGTCATCTGAAAAGTCAGTTTAGAATTTCAGACTTGGAGCTAAGTACACTTTTCAGACCACTTGCTAGTAGAAGTGTGGGAATGGATTTAAGGAAATTCAAGAAAAAAGATACAAACAAGTCCCAAGAGGTCTTTTTCATATTTGGTGTTTGAAAAATATCTTAAAACTGATAGAACTCAGATCAACTTCTGATGATTTTTTATATATTTAGAACCTCTTCTGAGTATAGGCTTGCATATTTTCGTGCTCAAATTTTGCAAACCCACTGTAGGATGCCTGCAATTTTCTTCTGGTTTTGTATCACTGGAGCTTATGTCCTAACTGTGAAGTTACCACTGATTCACATTTTAAGAACAGAATAAGGGTTATTCTTGAAGTTCTTTCCCCACTGGCACAAATTTTAAAAATGCCTGATATTGCCAAGAAATGTTAATTTTCATACTGGGAACATTTTGGAGTTGCTGTCCTCTCATCTGCAGCCAACAATGAGGACAAGTGAGGGGGCAAAGAGCGTGGTCAGAGCATCTGCAGCTATTGGAGCAATTCAGGGATTATGAATTGGACCATCTCAAAATCCTGTTTATGCTGGGGTTTGGACCAGTGGCCAAACATCCTAAGGACTGTAGGAACTATCAAAGCAGTTCAAAGCAACCTTTGCCTGTTGATATCCCACATGTAGTTAACAAGAATGAAGGAATTCAGCAACTTTTATGAATGAGCCCTGACTGATAATAGATGAGAGGGAGGCCACACCAGACTAGACTCTTATCACCTTCTCCACCCCATTGCTAGCTCACTGCCTAACCCTGCTTTTGGCCACTTGAGCAAGAGAAATGTGCTCTGAAGGGGACCATGGTACTTGGCTGGGTGGTGGGAGATGAGTTTCTGGCCATCTTTTATGCAATAATAAAGACGCCTATCTTGACCATCTTGCCAAATTCTCCTCCTCGCTTGTAACCTATGCATATTTAAAACAAAAGGAAAAAAATCATTCAGAACACCTAAAATGAACAGTAAGACTGTAGTTCAGTCATACAGGGAGCTCTTCTGTGTTGTTGAGTACCATATAAAAAAAAATCCAGCTGGTCCACAATGCAAAGAACTGACCTGATAGAAATACATTCTGTTGATTTCGACCAGATGAACTGCAGGAGGACTGGAGGACCTCAGGATGTTCCTTTCAACCTCAACTATGTTATAATTCAAAGGTTTGTGAAATTGTCTGGAGGATTAACTTTGTCCCAGAAAACTTTATGCCTCGTCTGGTATATGCAAGTCTGTGCTACTCCAATACTGTGCAGAGAATTTCTGTTCTGATGATTGGCATGGCATGAATATAAAAATGAAGGAATGAGATAAAGGTCTTTCCAGGAACTCTGCCTTATCAACAGAAATGTCATTTTATGCTCAGTCTTTATCCAAATCACACTTGATCACCAGTGTGTATTTCTGATATCAGCCATCACAAAATCACATTCAAGAGTCAAATGAGAGCTGTAATATTTTTTTTTCCTACCTGGCTAGCCAACCCCTAAAGCAAAGTAGCTAGCCTTTCTATTCTCAAAAAGTACCTTTATTTTTTAGGTATGATCCAGTAAAATGGGTTTTCTGCTGTGCTCATCAATAAATTTGCTGAAAGCTTACAGTCCTGCTATTGCTGCCACTTGACTTTCTAGCCACTGGACTTCCTTACACTATAGCCATATTTTGTGGAGATGGGCTGATGACTGGGACTTACAAACCACAAGATTATTCTAAAATAATCTGCTCTGAAATTGTAGCCATGAACAGATGCATGTGTACATACCATGAGGCCAAACCTCACTGAAAAGAGAACAAAACCAAGATCCTGGTTTAAAACAAAACAAAACAAAACAAAACAAAACTTTTTCTGCAGGCCAGGCACACCTCTAAATACATACCTGGAATTTAGACAGTTTGGGGTGGGAACAGAACTATTTTGCTTCACAAATCCTGGAAGGCCTTAGGGGGGAAGGTGGAGTGAGATTTCTTAATAGTCTTATTTATTGCAGCTGAAGGGAGATGTTTTGACTGTGTAATAAAAACACATCAGAAAAAAATGTAGAAAACAATAACAACAACAAACCAACCAACTAACCAAAACAAAACAAAAAAACATCAAAGTGGTGGAGTGTGCACTGCAGCTTGGGACTAACACTCTTTAAACTTTGGGATTTTCTTCTCTCCTACCCGAAAGATCCTGATCAGTAGCAATACCAGTGTACTTCTGATCATGCGTGTCAGCTCACTAAGACCATGTTTCCACTGGTTAGTGCTTTGAAACCACCAGCAAAATCTGTAAGTGCTGCCTATTTTTGATCTGAATGCTGATTCACTAGTACTGGGCAGAATCAAGGGGACCAGTCATATCTCTGTCCCAGCAGACCTAGGGCAAGTGTGAAGAACATAAGAGCAGCGGGAAATTTTATGCTGTGATTTAGAACAGTTATACTGAAGGCAGTTGCACACCTTTGGTATGAATCATATTTAACATACTAGCCTAAAGGAGCCTACAGGCTGCATGCAAGCTCTGAGATGTGAGAGGAATTGCAGACCATAACCATTCACTCTGTCCCCCTTTTCATGTTCTTTAGATATTTTATCATGAGACCTTTACTTACTTTTACACATAAAAGTAGTTTTGTGGGTTTTTTTTGGTTAGTTTGGCTTACATGTAAGGGACCTTTCACAAAAGACGCTGGTTTGTTTTTCAAGAATTTAGAGCTAGCTATTTAAGCTTGTGGTTTCGTTGTACTTTTGATTGATGGCTAGTTCAGCATATTATTAAAACTCATTACAGACTCAGTAGAGAACAGGCAGAGAGGTTTCTTAGATGTTATGAAGTGCATGTTACCTATAAAGTGTAGCCTAGATTTATCAAGCAGGGGATGGTCAAAATTTAGCTAGGTGGAAAATAACTCAAACTTTTAAATAGACGTCAAATGACCTAGCTCATCCATCTGTTTCTGGTGGTCTAAGCAAAATAAAATGACTAGGATTTTTTAATAGCAAAGCCTCAAGGCAAAATAAAGAGGGAAGAAAGATGTTTGAGGAGGTCTCCATCAGGACTCCTGATGAACAATTTCTATGTGGGCAATATGGAAACCAGGCTTATTTAAAATTGAAGTCAAAATGAAGCAACCAAAGCCCAGGGCTGAGGAGAGTCTAACATCCCAAAAGGGATCTGCCTTCATCTGTCACAGATGACAAGCTTAGTTTAGCAATGGGAAGTATACTTGAGAGGCCAGTAAGTAAAAGACTCCTCCAAGTCATTTGCTAATGTGGATTAAGAAGGGAAATACTTGTCATAGACACCAGCTGCAAGCCCATTTCCCCCACCCTCACCACCCCCAAAGGAGAAATTCAGCAAATTGTCTTGTTCCAAGCAGCATTGCCAGTGTACAAATCCTAGTCTTTGGACTGTGAATTAACAGATTTTTTGTTCTGGATTAAGCAAAGGTTGCTTGTTTGACATATGGCAAACAGAACATCATTTACAGTGCCCAGCAATAGATTCTCATTCAAAGTTCATGCAAATCCCAAAGCTGCTAAAGCTGCACAATTATTTACTTCACAAGGAATTAGCAGCAATGGGCACTGGTCTTCAAGCAATGACAATTTGTGTTTTCTCCTTAGCTTTGATTTTGTTATGGATATTTGTCTTTTATAAATATCTCATGTGCAGATTATTTTGCAGCAAAAGCAAAACTCTCCAGAACTAATCAGATTCTGAACTGATGAGCAAGGCACAGTTTGATTTCTCTTTTGGTTTTAGCAGCCTTTGGGATTAGTTTTGCTTTCAGAGCGGCAAAGTTGAGCAACTGTTGCAGGGTATTCATTCCCAGCAAGCAACCTGTTTTTAAAATTCAAGCAAACATGATTCTCCCCCAGTGTCTGTGAATTCCAGACATCCAGCTGGGTGCTGCTGATAATGAAAAGGAACTGACAGCTATGTCCCAGCTGTCCCAATGCAGAGTTACCTTCCCTGGTTCATGAAGAGAAAACCAGCCCTGAGACTCGCTGGTATCTCAAGGGGGGATGGCGTAATTGGGCATCAGAAATGATGTCTGACGCAGGTGAAAGTAGAATAGTGGGTGGAAAAGTAAGAGATTTTGCACTTTGGTAGCTGAAAAAACCAACCAGCCTTCTAATGTTGAGTAAAGCATGAAGCAATCAGTCAACTTCACATGCAGTATATTTCCTTTCAGTTCACATCCTTGAGCAGCATACTCTTCTGAACCAAAAAATATTAACCTTGAGGCTGGATGCACCACAGAGCACGGTG